AGAGCAAAAGATTAAAAGAAATGATAGTCTTAGGTGGAATGACAAGAGGATGACCACAAAAAGGACTAAAATGGTATCAAATGAGAAAGATGTTATCGAAAGAAGTTGCGGAACAGCAGTGAGAAGGAGAGGAGAATTTAGAAAGATATTGAGGTGCTTACAAGGACTGAACGTGGAAGCAAAATGAGGCAGAGAAGGATGGCGGGGTTCAAGATTATAAAACAGAGGTGAGAAAGAAGGCATAAGAAGAAAAAAGAAAATGTATCAGGATGTTATATTTATTGATATTGTTTAGTTTTTATTTTTATTTTTTATTTTAGATTTGAGGGAATGATTTCATTGATGAATCCGATAATATCCCTTAAGGTGAATTCCGACATGATCAATACACAACAGGGAATGCTTAAACGGCCGTCCACGAATATCGGAGATTTGGACTTCAGTCATTTTGAATTTTCTTTTAGTCAGTGATTTGTTCCTGTGGTTTTTGTAGCAGCTGTTTTATTATATCTGTTTCCTCTTCTTCCAATGTGTTTTTGTCTTTTTTTATTCCGTTAATCCTTCATAATTTTCTTCTTTATTAACTTTTTTCTTCGGTTTTTCTTTAGCCTTCATCTTTGCTTCTTGATACATTTCCTAGTATTTTTTAAAAAATTTTTCTCCTCCAATTTTCTTTTCTGTATGTTCCTTCTTTATTCAATTTCTCTTTTTTTTTTTTTTTTACTTTTCTCTTTTCTGTGTCTTTATTTTTCACCGTCTTTCATTTTGTCTTTAATATCTTACATCCCTTCTTAATTTTCTTCTTCTTTACAACTTTTTTCATTCTTTTCATTTTTCTGTTGCTTATTTTTCGGGGTTCTATTTTATATTCCTCTTCTTCTTTACTTTTTCTTTCTCATATCTTATTTTCATTTCTTTCTCTTAGATTTGTTTTTCATATCATATTTTGCGTGTTATTACTCCTTCGTTTTTTAATTATTTGCGTTCTGATTATCCTGCCTAATATATACTTTATGTTATTTTTTAATTTCTTCTTCTTCTTCTTTTTTTGTAAATAGGTTTCTTTCTCTCTTCAGATTATCGCTTCTTCTGGAATGTTATTTTACACATATTATCTAAACAGCTGAAAATCCTCTCTAGGTCGGCTGTGAGATAAAGACGAAGATGTAAGCTGCACTGCGTATATAGAAAAACGAATAATTCTTCTGATCTAAAACGGTGAGCTGTGTCAGAGTCAACATAATCGACTTATATATATATATATATATATATATATATATATATATATATATATATATATATATATATATATATATATATATCTTTTTGTAATCAATACATTATATATATATATATAGATATATATTCATCTTTTTATAATCAATACATTATATACATATATACATATATATATTCATCATTTTGTAATCAATAAATTATATATATATATATATATATATATATATATATACATTAATCAATAATGTTCTAAATATCACATTGAATTTTATATATATATATATTTATATATATCATTTATATATGCATATTTTATATATATATATATATATATATGTATTCATCATTTATAATCAATAAATATATATATATATATATATATATATATATATATATATATATATAAATTAATCAATAATGTTTTAAATACCTCATTGAATTTTATATATATTTATATATATAATTTATATATGTATATTTATATATAATTAGGTGATGTACGTGTAATATCTTAATCAATTCATTGTAATCAATATGTTATCAACAGTCAACGACGAAATTATTCGTACACCCGTCAATTTTGAATAGTTTTATCCATTTCTGAGAATCTAATGCCCCTATGACGCCCGGATTTTCTTTTATGCTAATAAGCACAAAGAAGGGAATATAAAACTCAATTTTCAGTACATTAGGTTAAATACAACAAATTTGACAGGCGAATTATGCAAAATAGCAAAAGACAAAATTATTCGACAGACTGTTTCATGCTAAACTTAGTCATCATGTCTGATGATTGCGTTTAACATGAAACAGTCTGTCGCCTCTGAGTGTCGACTTCAATGTTCACTTATATATATATGAATAGATTTTTTATCCGACGTTAGTTCTTATTAATATTGGAGTTATTTTAAGTGGGTACACGTATTTGAATGGCTATCATTGTTTCCTGTCGTAATTTATATCAACCAGACTTTATTGTGAAGTCGTACTCGAGGAAAATAGTTTTCCGACAAGAGTACAACCTGTATTCACAATTACATCAGAGTGACCGCTTTTATAGGCAAAATGTGCCGCAACCAATTTAACAACGGAGTTCGTTCTGTTAGAGGAACTTTGTAATATGACCCTTTAAAGAAAGCACATATCCTTTTAAGACTATTACAAATGTATATCTTCTATCTTCAGTTGCGTACCCAAAGAGAAACATTTAGTTTTGAATGTAGGTTTTTGTACGACATTATTTCTTATTAATATAAGCGTACATATTTGTATCTATTTGCGTTTCTGTACATTTGTTATTATTATTTTAAAATTTTCAATACACACACAGAAGATTCATACGCTGATGAGCGTTATCGAGGCAAATCTAAGGGTTTTATGTTGCAACGTATTTATAAACAAAATTTAATTTTTCAAAAGGTTTAAAATTAAGTGACGATCATAAATATTTATCAGGTTAACTTAAAATTTTGTGTAAAGTATGGAAGATGTTAAGTGACGTAATTTAATGTTTAACAAACCAAAGCGAGTAAATGATGTTGATTTTTTAATTTTTTTAATTTTATGCAATTAATATTTAAATTGTTTTAGCTTGGCATTAGTTCTTGTCTTATATATCTCAAATAACAAGAGGTTATAAATATAACCGTTTTCTTTTAATTTTTTAACCTTTTTATAGTCATGGATCTTGAGTGAGACAGCAAAATTCTTTCAGGAATTGCGATGTTTAAAGAAATTCGGGACACTCACACACACACGCATGCACACACACACGCATATTCTGGAACGCTTTTTCTAAGCGCGTTATTTGTTAATAAAATTGCTGTTTCCTTTGCTTTTTTAATAAAAATATTATTTTATTTTCAGATTATAAAAATGCGTTTCGATAATCATACGGTCCCGAATAATCATTTAAAACATTATTGTTGAATTGTTGTTTCTTTTTCGTAATAAATATTGTTTCAAAGACGCCTCATAATTATGCCTCAACCCAATATATATACATACATATATATATATATATATATATATATATACAGAAAATATTGTCCTCCGACAGGATATATATATATATATATATATATATATATATATATATATATATATATATATATCCGTCGGATTAAATATTTTCTATGAAATTTCGGACATTCAGGAAATATTGTTTATTACAATACAGTGCACTTTAATATTTTCTGAAAAAGAATGAAATGTCTTAAAAAATAAATGTCGGACTTTGACATTCAGGACGTCATTTGTTTATATTTAAATATTCATTTATTAAATACAGTGCATTTACGTTTAATATTTGTATTTTTCTGAAAACAAAAGAATGTATAAACATAAAAATATCTTAAAATAAATGTCGGACTTTGTCCATTTCATAATGTGTGACGTCATTTGTTTATATTTGATGCGCTTTGAGCAGATATGAATGTACGTGAGAGATTCATGGAAGATTGAAGTTTAAATACAGTAAATTCGACCTTGCTAACGGTTCCATTATAGGAACATATGTCGGAGGGCCTGAAAACATTCGGTAAATGTTGCTTATTATAAAAAGGCACTTCGTATCTATAAAAGAATGCTAAATGTCGGACTTTTCCGTATAGGATACAGTTTTTATATTTCGAATCCTGTCGGAGGACATGGAATATTTTCTGAAAACATTAAAGGCACCGGTTCCGGTAAATGTTGAATCCTGTCGGAGGACGAATATCTATAAATCAGAGCATTTACATTTTCAATGTTTGTATCTATAAAAGAATGTATAAACATAAAAAATATCTTAAAATAATTGTCGGACTTTGTCCATATCATAATGTGTCATTGTTTATATTTGATGCGCTTTGAGCAGATATGAATGATATATATATATTTATTTTTTCATCCTCTAAATGACGGTTCCGTATTTTGAATCCTGTCAAGGACGAATATTTTCTCTGAAAACATTCAGGCCCCTCAATGTTTATCTATAAAAAATGTATAAACATAAAAATATCTTAAAATAAATGTCGGACTTTGTCCATTTCATAAGGTATATTTTTTCATCCTGATTGAAATGCAAAAGATTTAGATTGCTCTGTTATTATACATCGAACACTGCTTTTATTGACACTAGCACAATATATATGCCGTTTATACACACACACATATGTATATGTATATATGTATTGATGCTACAGAAATTAAATGGCTAAAACAAGTTTATGCGCAGTAACTTTTCTTTTTCTCATTCACGTTTGCCAATATTTCTTTTCAGTAACACTGATCATGTACATTTAGTGTCTGACAGTAATTAGTATAATAAATTTATAATTTAAATTTAGTGCCTAACAGGTAATTAGTATAATAAACGGAAAGTAAAACTTATTTCATTTTTTTCCAAAGTAATTTCAGGCGAAGAAATATTATCATGCCACGAAAAATATTTTAAGTGAAAAATAGTTGTGTTAAATTATTTCTACCGTATATGAAACGGATTCTTTTATTTTACGTATTATCAACCTTTTACAGGTTATTTAAAGTCAGATATTTTTTTGTATATTGTATGAATGTTTTATACTTTTCTGTTATTTTGGAGATAATGATTTTAGTTATGCGTGTTTTACCAAGATAGTTGTGAGTCGGAAAGTGACTTATACCTTTCCCAAATTTATTTGTGCGTAAGTGAATATAACGAGATTTGGTTTCTCAGCTTTCCCATTAAAAAGTCTTACTTATTACCCATTATCCTTTTATAGAAACCACTCATCCAAATTTACAGCACTTCGTATTCTCAAACTGTCATCCATTTAGGTACTGACCAGGCTCGACCTTGCTTAACTCCGATGATCAAACGGGAACCAGTGTTTCAACATTAAGCAGTCGTTAAGCACATATAAGAAAAATTATAATTTTATGTTGAACAATGTTACTATTTTTTTCAAAGCATTTCACCCTAAGCAAGGCGAGAGTGCCACTAGTAGGCAAGGGGTTACAGAGAGTGGGAGGAAGAATAAAGATACGTGTTTGAGGAAAGGATAATGAGGAGGACTTGATCAAGGCATCAGATGTCGATTGACGTTACATTTGAATATTTGAAGATTATAGTTATCAGGGCAGCAAGTAAGAGAAATAGAGTCACACTGACTGGAAATGTGAGACAAGAAGCTGTTTGAGTAGAAGAGACAGCTACATTTAACCGTTTCCAAAGTGAAAGGGTGGGACTGAGATGCCAACCTATTAGCATGTTTAAATTAATGCAGTTTGGGAACCAGCGAATCTAGCTCTTCGGAGTAGTTACCGTGAAAATATTTGTAGAAAGATTCGGAATGTCTGTGAGAAGGTGACTGTAGACGAGATGCTAAATCAGGACCCATTTCATTGCATATCCGGATTTAAATAAAACGATACATAACTGAATAGCGTTAAGGTTTAGACCTTTCTTTGAAAAACTGGTAAACTGAGACTTCTATCTGAAAAACTTGTAAGGTGAAACCTTACGTCAAAAAAAAAAAAAAAAGAAATCTCTTTCAAATTTCCCCCTGGACTCAGTAATAATGCACACCAAATTACAGGTTGCACATTAAAAAAAATATTCGTTTGGGAATAAGCGAACCAATAAGCACATTTCTTTTATGTTTAAACATTATCATTGTTGGCTAGGTTCTTACTACAGCTGATGCCATCCTCCGACCCTCATTCATTCTTGTATAAAGTGACGTGCATAAAAATACTTAGAACAAATGTTACGTCAATGTCTTAACGTTTTAACGTGATTTCCTACGAGAATCACATGCTGTGTAAGATAGATAGACATTTTCAATCAGCCTCTAGCAACAATAACTATTCAATCGATAGCAAGAACAAATGACAAACCTAAGTGTTCACTGTACCAAAGATAAAATATCAGAAATACAAACTAATTGCCTCCAAATAATTAATCTTTAACAACCAAAATATAATATTCACGCGTAACAATCCTGGAAAAATAACATGACGCTGTCCAGCCACTGTTATAATCGATAGTTATATAACTAACTACATACAAGTGCGGCGACTCAAATATAAACCACCAGGTGTTGCTGATATAGCGGTTAGTGACAAGAGAAGCAAATCTAATTATGTAGCAGTCATTCGGTTTCTCTATTAGCTAAAATTCTTCCACCTTCGTTAGTAAAAACTACAAAGCTAAGATCAATAGTGGAACGTCGTTGCATAAGTTCTGAAACTAAAACCTGCCTCGAAAATTAACATTCAAGTTCCGTTACTCGAATACCGTATATTTGGAGAATTATTGCGTAAAGAGTGATGTACCTGTAAATAATTAAAAAAGAAAAACACTTCTAGAGTAATAATATTATCACAACATACAATAAAGCTCCTAGGATACAAGGGGTTACTGAGTACGAAAGAATAAGTGAAAAGAAAAAAAACATTACGGAGAGAGAAATATAATAATAATAAAAAAAAAATTAACAAAAAAGAAACTACAGCATTTAATGTTTTGATGGGCAATGGAAAATTCCACATATATGAAAAAAGAAACGTTTAGCATAGAAGGTACGGTTAAATCTATCAATTTCAACTATAAAATGATGAGATTTAGGTGTCACTATTACGGCGTTTAAATTTGTACGAGAGACGTAACAAACCAGAATATTTAACATGAATATATTTATGGAGAAAGAACACAGAGGAGCTGCTCACAGCGATGAGAGATTCATTTTATTCTGAATTAGGTTAAAAGTTGCCCTATCGGACGCCATTTAAACTAACTCCTCTACAGGGCACTTGATTGGTCATTTCTCACAATCGGTAGATGCGATAAGCAACAACGAACTATAGAAGAACTCAAAAGTAATCGCTGTATTTAAGTATTGCATTAATATATAAGCTTACCATTTAATTCTTCTGCCGCCACTTAGTTTAAAAACAATAGTATGTCCGTAGGTCCTTACTTTCCGTACGAAAAATATTTTTATTTCATGGGTGACTTTCGCTGGATTTCGCAATTAAATTTGATTATTCCCAAATTTATTTCCAAGTTATTAAAATTGTTATCGTACAAAAAATTCATCGCAAAAAATCACATACAAAAATCGCCGAAAACAAACGCAGTAATGAAAAGATGGTTATCCCAAATTTCAAGACCCAGAATGATTTTAATTTGCTCACGGAGTCTGCCTGATTCCAAAACACTATATGTTGGGCTACTGCCTCGAGAAGTAAAGTTGAAAAAGTGTGACACAGTGACACACTGACATTTGCAATTATTATAAAGATTGTTATAATATGATTTTATCTTCTGTTAAATTTGTTCGATATTCTGGAATGGTAGTATTCGCTGCATGATTAAACAGTTTCCATTGCTTACTGTTCACTTTGAATTTATTACCATTTAAAACAATTTTACATACACAAAACAGTAGCAACATTTTGTAGAATTTGTTTAAAAATCATCATATTATCAGCGATTTTGAAATTCAAATTCACAGCATTGCAACGGTTGGTGCCATGCTGTTGAAGAAACAGTCACAAAAAAACTGTAAAAAGACGAAAGCAAATGTTGAAGATCAGAAGAAACTGAGAAAGCAATGTCAGGCACAATCCAAATTTCAGCTTCGCCTGCCACACCTTCAGAAGCGAGTGTCATACAAAGATTGCTCTGTTCCGCCACTCCAGAAACTGCTTGCAAAGGGACTGAATGTTTGATCAAAGTGAATTCTACCATAATCTCGAGGGAGAAATTGATACCGACTAATACCTACAATAAATATTGTTTTGCGTAATTAGACATATATTTATTGAGACATTATATATACGGAAGGTTTTATTTAGGTACATATCAGTAATATTACTCTAGTTATTTTGAGATCAAACTAATAGTTTGAAATCCTTTCTCCATCTGACATCTCTCCAGTAATCAATGCTTTTTGGCAATGTTTTATCTCTACCAAACCTGAAAATTCTTTACCAAATGAAAATGCCCTACCGGGCAATCATCACCAATTAGCTGGCCAACTTTCTCTCGGTTCCAAACAACTTATTTGGAAGAATTCAAAGCGATCTCTCTGTAAATGGTTACTCTGTTTACTTCTCCCGGGTAAAGTCACTTACGTCGTGACAGACCACATCTGGTCACTTCTGATGCCAAAAGAATTAATAGATGTCCGTCGTGGCTTACGAAATAATTAAAGGCAATTCATTTGTTTGTATTGTTGTGAAGTTGCGTTGTTGGTTTTCCCCGCAGAGTGGCTTTATCTGGTTTTTCATCGTTTAGGGGACAATGAGTTCTATGCACGCGACCGCTACCTGAAAATCGTGATGCGGATGGTGGGTCGTGAAGTCTGTGATAAATTTCCTGTCGTTATAATAATTTCCTTCTCGTCGTAAATAATACGAAATTATTTAACTTGAAAAAGGGCGATAACTGCTCTTATAATGAGAGGCATGTTGAAATTTTCACCATCCTCACAAAATGTAATAATTCAAATACTTAGGATCCTTTAGGTGAAACCTAGGTAGATAGGTGATAGATTCTGGCTCCTTAGGTAATATATATATATATATATATATATATATATATATATATATATATATATATATATATATGGATAGGTCAGCAATAACGTCACTATACAGTTAGTTATAATAAAAAAAAACAATGTATTCAAGCAGGTGTCTTGCAGACTGAACAGTTTTACACAATAAATTTATGGGTTCTTGATTAATTGCTTTGTCTTACACGTCGTTACAATTAACTGTATACATACAATACAAAAACATTCTTGGTAAATCTTATATTGCACAGTATGGGAACGTCAAGAACAAAGGTTATGGAAAGAAAAAGAATACAGATAATTTTGAAACAACCTGCGTCTATTGTTTCGTGCGCATGTGCAGATGTGGGAAAGTCAAAACTGCCCAGTATTTGTTGATAAATGATATTATTTTAAGACGTTTTTTTATGTTTATACATACAAATATTTAAGTAAATCATCTGTTTATAATAAACAGTATTAACGACATTTACCGGCCTGAATGTTCGAGAAATTGTCACAGAAAATATGCGTCCTCCGACAGGAATCGAATCTGTATCTTATACGGAGCCTTCATATAGCCTTACGTGGTTTACCAATTTAGCCACATAGGAGCATTCCGGTTAGAAACGTCGATTTTACTGTCTTAAACTACAAGTCTCTATGATTCGTGGCTAAATCTCTAAAGCAAGTCAGGCTATATGGTATAGGAATGGTGTATGCTGAATAAATTCCAATAAACAAAAATACTATACTTAAAAGAGTAATCAATACAGAGTAGGGCAAATATAATTTAATATAATTATATATATATATATATATATATATATATATATATATACACAAAAGTTATATATATATATATATATAATATATATATATATATATATATATATATATATATATATATATATATATATATATATATATATATATGAAAAAAACGAAAAAAAATTCATAACGTTCAAAAACATTAATTGAAAACACAGCTAAGAAGTAACATATATGTTCTAATGTAACAGTGTATGCTACACACACACACACACACACACATATATATATATATATATTCATGTGCTTGTCAGTAGAAAACTTGCTTCATGACAAAACAATGTCACACGCAGCAGGCATACCACTCAAAAAATATTTGAATCTCGCTTGGTCTGCTCTACCTTACATTAAACCAACTGATTATTACCTTTTTCAACCGCTGAAAATTGCTTTGATAAGGACACTTTCTTCTAACGTAACTTGATTCAAAATTACTGAAATTTTTTTCAAAACAAATCCTGCCGTATTTTTTCTTAAATATAATCAAATATAAGTGACAGTTC